GAAAAATAGGAGTAGGGGTCAGTGTCACCTTATTTCCTCTCTGTGATGCTGGGTGGGGAGGGGGGGATCCCAATGTGATTTTGATCAGAACTGTTGCATTTAAATCATTTTAGGTTCTATGAGACACCATTTCCGCATTTTCAAAGTTGCGTTGCTTTTTCATACGATACAGAATAAGTATAAGAAGAAATATTCATGCTATGATGATGCATACATGTATTTAACAGTTAAAAATCTAAACTAAGTCTATTCTTCTTGGAACCATATCTGCAACTGCTTTAACGAGATTTCACAAATCAAGTTCCTCCAGTATGTCGTCTTTTTCCTCAGTCGAGATTTACTTAATCAGTTTCAGCTTCAGTATATTACCCGCCCCCCCCCCCCCATTTCTCTACGGATTTAGCCTTTCTGAGAGAATGATTTTTGTGGCGATCGGGGAAGGTGGCTTTTAATATAACTTAATATTTTTAAATAAAAAATTGCAATAAAACCTCCCAAAACAAAACACAACGCCTCTGCGGAGGAGAGTGCTAGGAAATAGTCGCAAGGCTTGGGAAGACTAGCATTTTATCGGATTGTTTGCATGAAATTTATCGCTATTATATGAAATACTCGGTGAAGAACAATATGAATTACACACAAGATGGCTGTGGAGGAGGCTATGGAAGGGCATAATCTCATCAAGTAAATCAACTGCAATTCTGACAGCAATTATGAGCAATTCTGCTTCGCTCTTTGTGGGCAGAAATGTCTTTACTGAGGGGAGGGGGGAATTCTTTCCCATATATAGTTAAAAAAGGCACTGGCAGCTTCTCGATAAATTATAGCTAACTTTAACTGTGTTTACAGTTGAATATTTTGTTGAAAGGACTTGTAGGTGGGAAGTGTGAGGAGCTATAAAAACATAACAAACATTTTATGAAGTACACTTTATTAGGTTGAAATAGATGGATTCAATACATCACCAAGCTATTCTACTTCCAAAATTTTACCAATCATGCATTTGGTTGTGTTTTTCTAAAAACTACAAACAATTTTCTTCTTTACCACCATGAATGTTTCCGACCTATATAATATATAAATAATCACACCTTGAGTTTTAAAACTACAGATACATCAATAAGAATTAAGATAATGAGTAAATGTTTTATTTTTTCGATTTATAGGGTCAGTTCATATTAACCACGTTAACAAGAAGTCCCGGGTGCCTTCATCTTGTTATAATTTCCTAATAAAAGTCATATGGTGTGCATTGTCGTTTGAATAAAAATTACATGGTGTTCATTTCTCTGAAAGGCAAAGCGAACATAAGCGGGAGCGATGAAATGGAAGGGCATGACCAAACTCATTTAAACATTTGCGCTCCCTTGATTTCAACAATTTTGCAGCTGCTGTGAAAATGTTATTGGTAGCGAAGTTTGTAATAATAGGATGACGAAACAGAAAATTTAAACTGAATTATAAACAAAAAATCTAAGATTGGAAAAATACAGCTTTTTGAAAAATTAAATACGTAGATTTAGATCCTCTTTAATATTATTTTAACTTTAATTTTTTAATGTAACACAATATCGAACGGCTTTGAAATTTTTCACAAATGTTACACAACTGCCGTTGTTGCTATGGACACCACAGCGGATATGTTGGTTTTTACATCAAAACATTTAGCTCGGAAACAAGATCGGTGATTCCCAAATTTTATTTCATAAAATTATTTTTTCAGTGTAATGAAAATTATTATGAATAATCACATTTACTTCTACTTAAATATTGTTGACAGTTTTCATGGAAAATAATTGTGCAATTAGTAACCATTAAATTAGAAAAGCTGCTGGCTACAATTATAATATACTGCGTAGGCTATCAGACAATATTATTGAAGACTTATTACATTATATCATTGAAATAGTTAGATATACGGATGAAACAAATAATTTTATTATACGGCAAGCATTTGTTTTGAAATTGATGAGTCGCCCAATTTTATCTGATGTGGCGCAGGGGGCTCAACTCTTGTCAGTAACAAGTGTAAAATAATCAAAATAATAAAAACTTTAAAAGATTTGCATAAATTCTTCTCAAAAATGTCGACAGAGAGAACAAACGTAATGCGGGCGCGTATGAGTTAATTAACTCATTAATAATAGATAAATTAATAATAGAAAGGATGAAACACAGGTCATGTAATCGTTCGATGTTCGCCAAGAGTAACCTATTCAATTCACTCGGAGATATCCAATCGCAGTTCAGAAATGCATCTCAAAGTTATTTTTGATTATACAGCAATTTCTGATTATTTAGCCTACATTTTTAATACTTAATACTGAAATAATAGTCTACGGTTCAACAAATCAGCGCTATTTTAAAAATTTGATTGCAAATTGTAGCAAATCACGAGTGCCTGACTTGATCGGATAGGCTAGTCATGGTAGACATATCGCGAAAATTACGAAGAAAGTCTGCTGTTAAAAATCATGTAGAGAAAGGCTTATCGAATATGCTATTTCTTTAGAGATATCTTTGTTCGTCAAAGAGAATGCTAAATACGTTGTAAAATAATCAAATTATGTCGAAGAGGTTATTTTAAAGCATTTAAAAATATCACGTGACCGCGGTGTTCCAAGCCTTCTATACATTACTTTATCTATTATTAATTATGCTATTACTTCATACACGCCCGCATTACTTACCTTGTTGAGGATTTTATAGTACTTCATATACATAATTCATATATATAATTTTTTTGCTAGCTTTCTCTATTCATAATATATTCACGAAGTTGTTGCGAAGAATTTATCCAAATCTTTTAAAGTGAGTGCATTATGATTATTTACACTTATTAATGACAGTGTTTAGCCCCTTGTGATGAGGCAGGATTTTCCCGTATTACACGGGGCAATACGAAGTTTTATTGCCCAACGAAGTTGAGCAAGAGCCGCGGCTAAAATTCTTTAAGAATATTCAAAACTAGGACAAATAAACCTAAAATAAGAAAAATACTACACTGCTGAACCTAAAGAAGGTTCTCATGCAATAAGGTTTTGTTGGGAAAATATGAAAGATAAATTTTACAATGTTTTAATTTTTTTTTTAGTTTTTGTTGCAAGCCTTACATGGCATGCAACTTTCATATAGCTCTAAATTTTATGCGTTGTGAGCGGTGGCCTGTGACAGGTGAGCTTTGACCGATCACCGCTGACCGGTTGCCGATGACCGGTGAGCGAATCGGGGGTGGTGAATCAACATTCGGTCAGTTAGTTAAGAAGGAAATTTTTCCAAGTAAGAAAAAGGTGATCAAACAGACACAGTACAACAGCTAAAAGGCACAAAAATGAATTTTATTAAAATTGCGAAATTCGGTTGCAAATGTTGTAAAGTTTAGAAAATGTGGTCTAGAATATTATTAGTCTTGCAAAGTTTGCAAATTTTATATATGTTTGTATTACCTGCAGAAATTGTTATCATTTTCGGCTCAAAATTCTAACAATTTTCGCACGTTATACAAGCATACACAAAATATGCAAATTTCGCAAGGCTATATTTTGCGGGTTATACAACATTTTGTAACAAATTTTTCATTTTTATTAATTTTAATTAATAAGTTCTTTACGGGAATTAATTTTTTTAACTAAAATAAAAAATGAGTCTAACGTACATGTTGTTTAAATGATGAATGATGGGATACGTACCTCTATTGATTCGATTAATTACAGTAAAATCGCCACATGAAAAGAACGAAAGAAATGCAGTATTGTTGGAGTCCATTCCCAAGCACATTCCGGTAATTGGATCATTAATTGTAAAGGATCTGTGATCGAAGTTTAACCTGGGTACAAAGCGAGCACCTAGTCTTGTCGAATTAACCCCTGATGAGCAATATTCCACGGGAACAAGGAAGAGCTTCTGTGTTGGATGGGTAACCTGAGCCATGAGGCAGTCTCCAATCAGAGGGTATAGTGTAGCATCTGTTTCCATAAACGTGTAAGACTTCGAAAAATCCCTTTCAAAGTACATATATGCGGAATTGAAAGAAGAAAGGAAACTCTTTTCTCGTATATACTTCGTTGCTACTACAACTCGATTATACACTGGTGCTTGACCTGCAATAAAAAGTGGAGACAAAATCAGTTGTAGGCTTCTGCGTGTTATACTACAGAAATAATTTACTAGATTTATGCACGTGTGTTGCACGTGATGCTCACATGTAAATATGTATATGTATGTATGTCTCATCAACATTCAGTTGGTTTCATATATATATATATATATATATATATATATATATATATATATATATATATATATATATATATATATATATATATATATATATATATATATATATATATGATGATGATGATGTCCCATATATATATATATTTTGATGTCCCACAATCGTGAGGCATCAAAGGTAACTATAAATAAGAGTTACTTTCATCCTGCTCATGAGGCCCATTAGGCCGAAACGGTACCGTCTGTAGTTAGATATCGCTCTATGGCCTTTAGGTCATATTGAGCGCTCTACAGGATGAGCCATGCCGCTTACGCATTGTGCACGCTCACTGCTTGCAGTTTGAGCGCTCTGGCATGGTTTTGATGTCCCACAATCGTGAGGCATCAAAGGTAACTATAAATAAGAGTTACTTTCATCCTGCTCATCAGCACTACACTGATGAGGCCCATTAGGCCGAAACGGTACCGTCTGTAGTTATATATATATATATATATACAAAAGTTCAAGTCGCGTTACAAATAGGAAGAAGTAGATACAATTATTTAAAATTATGTACATATACTTAAATAATTAGAAACTTACAGACCCCACCTATTTCAATCAAAAGAAAGATACAGAGAACTATTACTAATAAAAAGTTTAAAAAGATAAGGCCTGAGATCCTTTTTAAAGTTGATATAAACTGTGCGGAAGTTTGTTCCATAGTTTTGGAGCACATACAGCGATATATAGATATATATATATATATATATATATATATATATATATATATATATATATATATATATATATATATATATATATATATATATATATATATATATATGAACGATGGGGAGAGGAAATACGTCGAAGCATTTGAAATACAAAAACATTCTGGAGACTTGATGAACGGTTGTACTGGTAAAGCAATTAGTGTTTGAACTATTATAATCTATTAACATTGTATAGTACTTTAAACTACGGGACAATAAATCAGTTGCATGTTTGAATTATTTTAATCTAACATTACATAGTATTTTTTAAACTACAGGACAATAAATCAATTGCATGTTTTGCACATTTTTATAAACATTAGCATACTCATTGTAAATTTTGTATTTTAATTAGTTTTATATAAATAGGAGGAAATATTATTGTAATTTTGTGTATTTTTATGTCTGAAGAAATCTTATAGCAAAGTTTATACACTATCCAGACATGGTACCTCACACCCATTCATATATATATATACAATCTCGTACCCAGAGCCATCGTTGAGTGGCTCTGGCCACACGGGATTGAAAAACGATCCTGATTGGTCGATCCATAAGCTATTGGACCCATACCCCCTGTGG